CAATGAACAGCTCTCAATGACTTTTTTGCATTTGTCATTGCGTTAACAAATTAGGTTAACAAATGAGGGAAGGAGAGGGCAGAGTATCTGCAATATTCAAAATATCAAATAAACTGTTAATTTTTTTCCTCATAGTTCTTACTTTTTCTTCAGTTTGGTGGCTTTGATGACCACTGTCATCATTTAATTTAATCTTTTGGAAATGTAAAATAGATTGTGATCTAACATTACAAGAATCCACCATTTTTCTTTAGTTTGCATCAGTAAAGACACTAGGAAGCTCTTAGGTCCTGGAAATTCTCCCCGAGGTGTAGAATGGGAACCTAACCTTTATCCATATCTTTTGTTTGGCAGCAGCTCAAGTCACCTTAAGAGCAATTTGGAGGTAGCAAGTGGAAGAGAAAGGAATTAAAATACTGCTGGATTTTGGGGTTTGGTTTTATTTTAATAAGTCAATAAAATGGAATTGTGGATGACAGTTAATTTTGTTCTGAAGATAATTAGTTTTTGCCTATTTCTTACTGAAGAAATTTGCCAGCCTTTTTTTCCCCCTTATTGTTTCCAGTACCAGCCACACCAGTCCTGAGTGTCTGAGGAAAGCTGTAACTGCTGCTCTATCAACGAGACCTTCAGTTGAGCTGTTTGTTTTCTTTCTCTAAGGTTAATGAGTAGGAGTAATAAGGATATATTTTGACCTTTTATTATTTCTTTATTTTGTAAGCATTACAGCATTTTTTTTTGTAAAGAAAGAGTACAGATTTAAAAGTTTTCAAGTCACCTCTTACAGGAGACATTTGTTTTCACATTGTTTTAATTATGAAACATTATATTCCAAAGCTTTTGAATACATGTGTACTTTATATCACAAAAATGAATCATTCCACTAGTAATAATAGCAGCTAACATCTAGTGAACATTTATTATTTGCCAGGCACAATTCTACCAACATCTGTATTAAATTTTCCCAACAACCCTGTCAGGTAGGATTTAATATTTTCCTAATTTCATAGATAGGAAAACTGAGATGCAGAAAAATTAAACAACCTGCCCAAAGTCACATAGTTAATAAGCTGCAGCTACGGAATTGAAAGCCAGGCAATCTGACTCCAGATTGTAGCTCTTGTTATTATTCACTCAGCAGTATATATCATGATCAGCTCCCATGTGCATAAGCGTGCGTCAATAGCATTGTCTTGATGGTGCATGGGATTCCATTGTATACACAACTGATATAATTAGTCTCCCATTATTGGCCATTTACGTTGTTTCCAACTTTTCTATGACACAAACATTGCTGTGATAAACAAACCACTGTATACATCATTGCATGCCTGTCTTGTTCTTTCCTTAGAATAAACTCCTATAAGTAGAATTCTTGAATCATGTTTCTCGAGACTTTTATACAAATTTTCAAGTTGCTCTCCAGAAAGGTTTTTAACACTTCCATTAGAGTGTAAATTTCCTCATATCACCAATAATGATTATTATTCTTTCTAAATCTTTGTCTCTCTGACACAAGAATTGTATTTATTGTTTTATAATGTTAAACTCTTTTTTCCAAATAGTTATTAGATATTTATATTTCTTCATTAGTGAATCATCTGTTTTTGTCCTATTTTTTTTTTTGTGGTGATAGTATACCCATTTTTACTAAGGATACACTGTCTTTATATATTAAGGACATCAAGTTTTTGTCATATCTGATGCAAATATTTTTCCCCCAGAAATTTTACATGCAGGTAAGTTGTTTTTCATATGTGAAAGTACCAAAGGACATCCTTTAATAAAAAGAGGCTCAGGAAATACATGACCTAACCTTTGTAGAAACAGTTGAAGATGTCTTGCAGTCAATGATAAAAGAAGCAAAATTAAGAGCTCACAAATAGGAAAGTCAATGTTAATAAGTGATAATTTTTTTTTAAATTTTTTGTTTATTGCAGTAACATTGGTTTATAACATTGTAAAAATTTCAGGTGTACATCATTATACTTCTATTTCTGCATAGATTACATCATGTTCACCACCAAAATACTAATTACAACCCATCACCACACACATGTACCGAATTATCTCTTTCACCCTCCCCTCTCCCCCTCTGATAACCACCAATCCAATCTCTGTCTCTAATAAGTGATAATTTTTAAAAGTAGTATTTGGCAGTCCATGGATTCACCTCAGGAAACACTTTATTTTCATGTGAACTGTGGACCACTTTTGCTTTTCATCTGTAAAAATGTCTTTATTAAGATATTTTTTCTTTATAAATGATTTTGTAGAAAAACAAATTCTCATTTTCAGAAATTTGACCTATACCCCACTAATGTCCTGAAGGATGAGTTTTTTCTAAAACAGGTTGTAATCCTGGGAGATCCCCAGGTTGAGATCCCAGGATTACAACCTGTTTTTAAAATCTCCTTTGTGCTGAAGGAGAGAGAATTTTGTAAAAAAGTATTTTGATACTTTTACTGGCTGTCAAAGAAAATATGGAATCTGTAGAAATTAATTTAATTTCCCCCCAAATGTAAAGATACTTCATTTAAATTATATTAAGTCTAATGGTTCAAAACTGTCTAGGACTTGGTGTTTTTAAAAAACTTGGTTAAAAAGGAATTTATTTTAAGAAAATCATGTTCTGTGGGAACAAAGGCCTTTTTTTCCCTTCATTTTTTGGCTTCAGAGAGGAAAATGAGAAATGCTATTTTGTGGAAAAGATTCCCAACAGAAGGGAATCCTTTCGCAGCAGGAATAAACAGCTTTGGCAGAAAGCCACCAAAGGAAAAAGAGTTCGGCATGTTTTAAATGAGGAAGTGGTGATGAGCTTCAAGGCAAAAAGGATATGTCTGATACAGGGGTGGGTCAGAACCAGACTGGATGGAAACACTACATTACATAAGCTCCATAGACGGGCTGCATTTGAATTGAAGCATTTTGCGACACATCCCTTTCCCAGTTTTCTAGGGAGGATCTGTTACTATTCTAAGGAAGTGATTATATTTTACTCAGGGCCACATTGTTCCCTTTAGCCTTCATGATAATAATAATAATGAAAAAAATAATAGTATTTTACTCAGGACCACATTGTTCCCTTTACCCTTCATAATAATAATAATAGTAGTAATAAATAAAATATAAATCCTACAACCTGGGTTGTTTCCTGACCCTTTCCCCTTCATTTTCCAGAAAATAAATCACTTATGCATCTACAAAAGTAGACTAATGATTAATTTGAAGGAGAGTCTCATCTTTAGTTTTAAAATGCTCTGAAATCCTTTTGTGGTGCTGTACATATAGAAAATACTTTGTGCTCATTATATTTCTGGCGTGAGTGTGGATGTGTATGGACGCATGCTCTTGTATTTAGCCTGCATTTTCACACTGATGTTTTCAGTAGAGGGAATCGCTATTTGTTGGAATAAATATATTTGGAAGGATGGGTGACAAGCCAGCCATCCCATCCGTGTGTAGTTACATTTGCAATTATGTATAACATTGCTGATTTGGTGTGGTTGGATATGATATTCATGAAGGTTTAGCAAGATGGTCAGAAAACGCAACCATTTGAGAATCCCTTTCTCTCTGATTCTAAATTACTGTTAGTAGAAATGGTGAAATGGTGGCAGAGATCCCCATGTACATTCCTCCAGAGAAGAAAGAATAGAAGAACTGTTCCAAAGCGAAGTTTCTTTTCTCCTTCATTCAGTCAACAAACCTTTACTGAGTATTTCCTATAGGCCAGACACAGATTTGTTATCTGTGCTGTTCCTTCATCAGAATCCACCCCTCGCCAAAGGCTTCATTTTCCCCTCCCTTCCTACAACCCCACACAGGGTCTTCATGCTACTGAAAACGTTTGGATCTTTCTCCTAGGGAAACTCAAGTCCTCTATCTCCTTCTTTGAAGGACCTACTGGGGTGGAGTTTGATTTGTAATAACCTTTTTTCCCCCCATAAAATAAATAAACCCTAAGATGAAAAAGTATTTTAGAGAACAAAGAAAAGATTATATCATGAGCATTTTCTCACGTTACTACGTACTTGTAAACATTTGAATGGCTGAGTATTATTCCATTGTGTGCGTCATTTTCTTAACATTCACCCAAAACTTGGTTCACAATTTGGATTTATTTCCTTAGGGTAAAATTTACTAAGTTATTGTTTATGAACATTGGTAAGACCCTTACTACAAATCGCCGAACCACTTTCAGAGAGTTTGTAGCAACTTACGGTCCCGCTAAGGGTCTATTTACTGTTCATATCATAGCACTCGAACCCTCATTAAATATTAAAAATTTTTTTAATCTTCACTGATTTTTTTTTGTTTAATTTGCATTTTTCTTACTACTAGTGAGATTGGATATTTTTCACATGCTTATTAGACATTTTTAGTTTCTCTTTCCTGAATTGTCTGTATATGTCCTTTGCCTGCATTTCTATTGGGAGTTTTTGTATTTTTCTCATTCACTTGTATGAATTAATTTCATATTAAGGATGTTAACATTTTGTCTTTAATATTTATTGATCAAATTTGGGCCAAAATCTCCCCAATTACATTATTTGCAATCATATTATCACTTAGAGCAGATAACGTGTTTTGTTCAATGAGATCAGCTTTATATCATTTTATGTAGGAGGTGGTTTTCAATGTTTAAAAATTAAGAATACATACTTTAGAGCTGAGTAAAGAAAACATTTATTCCAGAAACTTCTATAAAATAAAGGGAGAATGTATAAGAGTTAAATTGCAAGGGATTTTGGTCCTACCAGTGCTTCTGTATTGGTAGACCGGTTTGTATTCTTACTGCATTTAATGTATGGCCCCTCTGATGTGCTTACTACAAAATTATGGGAGTTATGCCCAGACTAAGCACTTGAGACAGGTAATGAGCTGCTTTGGAATTTACCAGATAAAATTCTAGTCATCCCTCATTCCCATACCTCAGTTTCTCATACCTCTAGAGGCCCTGAATAGCAGCCCCTCATATGTTCTCCTTTTCCTTTTAGATAATTCTTCCTCACTTCAAGAAGATGAAGAGGTAGAGATGGAGGCCATCAACTGGGAGGCCAGCAGTCCAGCCATGAATGGGCACCCTGTCACTCCAGTGACCTCTGCCCGTTTCCCCAGCTGGGTCACATTTGATGACAATGAAGTCAGCTGCCCTTTGCCACCAATCACCTCTCTTCTGAAGCCAAATACACTGCCTATTGCTTCTGTGACCCCAGATGTACCTTATAATTCAACTGGGTCATTTAAGAAGAGAGAACGTCCCAAGAGCACGCTGATGAATTTCTCCAAAGTTCAGAAGCTGGACATTTCCTCCTTAAACCACCCACCTTCCATAACTGAGGCTCCACCTTGGAGGGCAACCAATCCTTTTCTGAATGAGACTCTACAGGATGTACAACCTTCCCCTATCAACCCTTTCAGTGCTTTCTTTGAGGAGCAGGAGAGGCGCTCCCAAAACAATTCCATTTCTGGTACCACAGGCAAAAGCCAAAGAGATTCCCTCATTGTCGTCTACCAGGATGCCATTAGTTTTGATGATTCAAGCAAAAACCAGTCACACTCTGATGCTGTTGAAAAACTCAAACAACTCCAAATTGATGACCCTGATCGCTTAGGCAATGCGACACTTCCTGACGATGACCCAATAGCCTGGATTGAACTAGATGACCACCCGCCTGGTTCAGCACTGTCCCAGCCCAGGGATGGATGGCCAATGATGCTAAGGATCCCTGAGAAGAAAAACATTATGTCCTCCAGGCACTGGGGACCCATCTACATCAAACTGACAGACAGTGGTTACCTGCAGCTGTATTATGAGCAGGGCCTAGAGAAACCATTCCGTGAGTTCAAGCTGGAGATCTGCCATGAGATTTCAGAACCCCGGCTCCAAAACTATGATGAGAATGGCAGGATCCACAGCTTGCGGATAGACCGTGTCACCTACAAGGAGAAGAAGAAATACCAGCCTAAACCTGCTGTGGCCCACACAGCAGAGAGGGAACAAGTGATTAAGCTGGGCACCACCAATTATGATGACTTCCTGAGCTTCATCCGTGCAGTCCAGGACCGTCTCATGGATCTGCCAGTGTTGTCAATGGACTTGAGCACAGTTGGCTTGAACTACCTTGAAGAGGAGATTACAGTGGATGTCAGAGATGAATTCTCTGGCATGGTGAGCAAAAGAGACAACCAGATTCTCCGGCACCACGTCTTGACACGGATCCATATTCTGAGTTTCCTCTCTGGGCTTGCAGAGTGCCGCTTGGGCCTCAATGACGTCCTCATCAAAGGCAATGAAATAGTTTCCCGGCAAGACATCATGCCTACTACCACCACAAAGTGGATCAAGCTCCATGAGTGCCGTTTTCATGGGTGTGTGGATGAGGATGTATTCAACAACTCACGGGTTATTCTGTTCAACCCTTTGGATGCATGCCGATTCGAGCTAATGCGGTTCAGGACAGTATTTGCTGAGAAGACCCTGCCTTTCACACTCAGGACGGCAGCAAGCATCAATGGGGCAGAGGTGGAGGTGCAGAGCTGGCTTAGGATGTCAGCCGGCTTCTCCTCTAACCGTGACCCTCTCACTCAGGTTCCCTGTGAGAATGTGATGGTTCGTTACCCTGTGCCCAGTGAGTGGGTGAAAAACTTGCGCAGGGAAAGTGTCCTGGGGGAAAAGTCCTTGAAAGCCAAAGTGAACCGGGGGGCAAGTTTTGGCTCCACTAGTGTATCTGGCTCTGAGCCTATCATGAGAGTAACTCTGGGAACTGCCAAGTATGAGCATGCCTTCAACTCCATTGTGTGGAGGATAAACCGACTGCCTGACAAAAACTCAGGTAGGTAGAGGTTTCTCGTCTGTGAAAACCACCACATGGTTGTGAGAGAACTGGGATCGAAGTTCCACAGTCTATTCCCCTGTGAAGTGCTGGGTTTTGTTGTGTGATGGGAATGGTGATGGAGGGGGAGTGGGACCAGAAAAGCAAAGTAAGTAACAAACGTGAATGACCCAGTTAACTCTATCTTTTTACTCCCTTATCATCACACTTCTTCCATAAAACTATGCGTTATTCTTAGCTGAGCTGCTAAGCCGATTTCCGGGGCAGCTTATGAATTTGTATTCTTTTCTGACTCATTAAAGTATCAGTGGTGCTGGAAATTATGCATTCCCAGATCCTAGAAGGCTTCTGGGTTCTGAAGAGAGAGCTTTCTAATTGTGCCCTGAGTGTAGGTAAAAGGGCCAGTTTATAGCCAAGCATATGTACAGTACAGGTGAGGAGTTAGATTTATAATTCTAGCCTCCCTGTACAAGGCCTGTCAATCATAACATCTCAAGCTCAGAGTTGGGATTTGGGGAAGGGAGGGGGGAGAAGTGGCCTCCGATCAGATCCAGCCAGGACATGAAGGTCCAAAAGGGCTGAAATTCTATCAGGCAAAAAGTAAAGGAAGGAATGTTTGATTTAAACAAAGAAAGAAAGCTTACCAGCTCTAGCTGGCCTGCTCACAGCTATCAGGGGTGCTTTTGTGCTTGAGTGAGCCCAGAAGGCAACAACTTTCCTTTTGGGTCCAGTGAGATTTAGTGAAATGACAAAACTTAGGGAGTAATCAAACCAGCTCTTATAGCCTTATTTCTTAGAGTAAGTCTGGGTGACTCCAATGGCAGGCAATAAGTCCATGGTCCTGTGATCTTTTAAACCACTTCTCGTTTATAAGAAACTTTGCCCATCTGTTAACAAAAGTGGATATCCTAACTGAGCAAAAAGTATCAGGCTTGGAAAAACTCTTGACTGCAATGTCTTTCTCTTATGCAGCTATTCTTCTTTGTATTCTCATTATTAAATCCTAACATGTGTTCCGAGTCTTCATTTCCTGTTCCGAGTGTGGAGTGGCTACGTTGTCATACTCTAAATGTAACGTGATGTGATGGCAAGGGGCAGTGCGACCTGGTCAACTCCCCAGGCTGTCCAGGCAGTGGACACTCACCGGGGCCTTCTGTGTCAGACACTGGGTGTAGCCGTGCAAACTGAAGAGACAATTGGACCTCTGTGTTGGAGGCTGGATTTACCACCCCCTATTTCTAAACTGACAGAATTTTGAAACCAGTCTTCCTCTCTGCACTTGCTTATCCATTTCCCCTAAAATGAACACTGTATTCTCCTGGTGTTAGAGCCATGATTTCTACCTCAGCCACAGGGCCCATCTGAATTGACGGAGGAGGGGAGAAACTCTGAATTCTTGTTAGCACAGAAACCCTTGGGAAGAGAACCAAGGTGACAGGGAGACTATTTAACCTGCTGGAAACTAGACATCAGAGAAGACAAGGCCTCAGGCTTATATTGGAATTTTTAGCTCGTCAGTGTCCTAAGCATGGATTCAGATGACTTCATTATGGAATTATTGGATTTTTAAGCTGGAAGGGACCTTGGGGATAACAGTCAAACCTCTTCATTCCATAGATGAGAAAATTAAGGACCAGAAGTAACACGACTCATCTGAAGTCACAAAGCCGCATCCAGGGGTCTCTTTGCAATACCACAGCTGCCTCTTAGTAGATGCCCCAAATAGACACAAACTTGAAATAATTTCCACTGGGGGAACAGAGATTTGCAGTTTTCTCAATGTGTACACACATATCTCATTTGTTTCAAAGTTCTTTCTCTCAAATATTTAAAAGAGCTGTATGAGGGGTTTGGGGTTATAAGCAGCAAAGACTGACTGGCTACTTGAAGCAAAAAAAAAAAAAAAAAAAGAAAAGAAATTGTTGGAAGGATACAGGTAGCTCAGAGAATGGACGGAAAGACTGAACAAGCAGGCTCAGAGAGGAGAGCTCTTGATGGCAGGGACTATGGATGTCTCCAGGCTGCATCACAAGCCATATTCTGCCCTTGTGCCACTTGGCTTAAGAGTCAAGGGTAGGATAGTGCATTTTGACTGACGTGACCACCAAGATGACATGCAGTGCTGAGGAAGATTATTTCCCAAAGGAAAAAAAAAAAAAAAAGGCTTGTTACCAGAAGAAAGGGAGAATGGATGTAGGACAGGGGAAAAATAGGTGTTCAGCAAACACTTTCCTTAATGCTTCCCGGCAGGGAAGTGTTCAGTAGGCTCAAGGCCAAGTAAATGCAGCTTATATATTACATGTGTATTTCCAGATTACTGGGACCTTATTTGTGAAAGATTTTTGAAATACAGGACAGCATAAGGATATTTGGGAGTGTTTCTCACTTAAACATTCCCCCTCAATGACTGTTTCTGCTGTCATGTTTCTATATATATCTTTACAAGTGAAACCTCTAAAAAGGGCTTCTTCTGATACTTCTGGCCAGTGGTATATTTCTGTATCACTTCAGGAAATTGATAGCATCCTTTCCTGGAAACTTGAGATGCACAAGCTCTGAATTCCAGTCAGACTGCAGGTTCTTACAGTGCCCAGCTCCTGCCCTCCCCGTCCAGTGCTCCATCCATGAAATCAGAGAATTGACAATGATCTATTAGTAATTGTCCCTTTTCTGAGCTCTTCTGTCTTGGTCTTCAGACAGCCTTGGGAAGGTAGGTGCCTTTTACAGGTTAACTTTCATAATCCTCACACCTCCATTTACAGTGAAGGAGGCCTAAATCTCGGCATATCTATTCCCACCTGCAGCGGCCCTGCATCCCTAGCCGCCAGCAGGCAGGACAGTCAGACCGCAGGCAGCATGGGCCAACAGGTCGGCACCCTGGCTTTGCCAGCATCCCAAGCCTGTAGCCACAGCAGGCTTGTCCCAATCCTAGCCACCAAAAGGCTAAGAAGCTGCCATTGGATTCCAGTGTGGCTCCCACGAGGAGGGCCCAACTCAGCTGTGTGTATGTGCAGCCCCCTCTATGTGTGCTCTCCCAGGACCCCTCCCATGCTAATCCCAGCAGCTTTTCTTAATCCGGGAAGGCACCAGAAGAAGTCCTGCTGCTTTCGCAGATATCTGCCAGGAAAAAAAAACATTCTGTCCTGCATAGGTAGCTTTCTTTGCTGGAATTCCAGTTCTCATTGGGCCAGGTAAAGAGAAAACAATCCCAATATGACTCCCCTTTAATGGAAAATAGATAACTGAATTTTCATGTTAAATTGTCTCAACTTCATCAAGAAAGATGACGTAATGTGTGGGCTCATTAGTTCATTACCATGAATTAAACTATACTAGCTTTCAAAATTGCACTTCCCTATCTGTCCACCAGCCCTAGCCATCCATTAGTTGATGCTAGGAATCAAGAAAGAATGTTGTTTTCATAGAGTTTGCTGTGAATATGCTTTGGTGGGGTAAGAGGAGGGGGTCGGTTTTGTGGAGAATATTCCAACAATGTATAAATAAGGAGAATTAGATAAAACTGTTGTTCAAGTTCTTATTGAATTAAATTAAGAAACTGCTCTATATACTTGGTAGTGATCTAAATCTATAACAATATATTGAGAGGAGTTTAGGACATAATTTGGAGTCAATTAGATCGAAGTTTTATTCCCAGCATTACAGTTTAATGGCTGTTTGACCTCAGGCTATTTACTTAAATCTCTCAGAGAAATCTTATTTTCCTCATCTGTAAATAGCATTATTAATACCTAGCTCATTAAGAATGAAATTAGATAATGCTTTTACGTATTTAGCACAGTTTCTGGCCTGTAATCAATGCTCAATAAATAATAGCTATACAGTTACCGCTGTGGTACACAATTTAAAAAATTGAATAGATTCATTTTCAAATAATGTCCTTTTTACTATTATATGTATCTTCTTTAAATTTCTTTCCTAAAAACCATTGCAAATTTTTCAAATAATTTCCCAAGGTATTACTCTTTAGAAATAACCCTTGAAATATGTTACATTTGTGAAACAGAGCAAAACAAATACTTCACTCGGTAATGTTTTCCTTGGAGAGCGGGTGTGTATGTCCTCACTCTCTGAGATTAAAAGTGCTGCCCAGACCAAGAAAGAAAATTGGAATTGTTTATTTGGAAAAATTCAGATAACTAAGGGCTGTTTCAGTTACATAATGAAGTCAAAGCCATGTCATGTCGTTTATCCATAGCGAGTTGCGATATGGGGATTCTTACAGTTTTCTTCCTCTGCACTCCTGTCACCCTGCAAACCTGGTCTTGAGGTTTAGGGACCATGAAGTTGTGACTCTGACAAAGTGGTTAAGAACACTTTGGAGTCAGACTGCCGGGTTCAGTTCTTAGCTCTGCCACTTTCTAGCCATGACCTTGGGCATTCACTTTACCTCCCGATGCCTTAGTTTCCTCATCTGTACAATGTAATAATTCTGACCTCAAGGGATTGTTGTGAAGGTGCAGTGGGAGAATCTGCGTAAAGCATTTAGCACAGTACCTGGCACAGAGTGCTCAACAGACATTTCTTGCTACATCTGAGTGATGATGATGACGGTGCTTCAATAGTCACAGAACTAAGCTCTCTCAAATATCTAATAACAATCCTCAAATGAAAATCAGACCTTAAGTTTGCCATCCAAGTCCAGTAAAACTAACTGTAGATTTATAGAATTAAAGAACAGGAAGGGACTATGCCTGGCATTGGTACGCCTATTCTTCCTACTACCCCTCCCCCACTCCCTACTTTACAGATGAAGAATTGAGGCCCAGAAAGAACAAAGGACTTGGGTGCAGGGTCTCTGCCACTTAGCGGGGAGCTGGAAGTCAAACCCAGGGGTCCTGTTTGTCTGTGTTCTCTCCAGTGTACCATATGCCTCCCTAAGACACATGTGCTGTTTATAAGGGCTTTGTCATTTCCATATGCCGTTCACCCACAAAAATTGCCCGAAGCATTTTTTTAAAAATATGAAATGCTGTTAAGAAAATTCAGTTCATCTTTCAAAGGAAATTGATGATTTTGCTCCAGGTGGCTTTAAATGATGTTTTATTAGGTGCTCAGTGGTGATCCCTTTTATTCCTTTCTGCCAATCTACAGCCCCTATTTCTTAGTATTTGTGCTGTGTTCACATATCACTCCGAATGACCTAAGCGGGCAGAATGACCTCTATTTCTCAGGTCCTGGGTTTCATTGCTAGGATACCAGGCTACTGTAACCAGAGAGTGTTATATCAAAGGGTCTGAGGCACACACACTGTGGTTTCTGCTGAGGCTAATCCTCTGCTCGGCTCTGGACTCTGAAAGACGGCTGGCTCTTAGAGATGGCTCTTCTTCTACTTCCTCCCCAAAGAACCTGATCTCTAGATTCTTTGTCTTTCTTTCATAGCTTCTGGTCACCCACACTGTTTCTTCTGCCACCTTGAACTTGGCTCTGACCGGGAAGTGCCTTCCAGATTTGCCAATCACGTGAATGTCGAGTTCAGCATGCCCACAACTTCTGCCTCCAAAGCCGCTGTACGATCCATCTCCGTGGAAGACAAGGCTGATGTCAGGAAGTGGGTCAATTATTCCGCACACTACAGTTACAAGGTAGCCTCGGGGGGCATCTGACTAATGTTTCCAAGTCCATTTGCTCATCCTTGTCCCCTCCCCCTCTCACTCCTCTGTGGCAGCACCAGCCACGGGTGCAAGGTGTTCTCTTCCTGCCTTAGGGGAAGTTCACCGTACATAGCTGTGCATGAGTCTGCTCTGATTTAAATGAATAATCTCTCTAATGGTCAAGAGAAAGGTTGGGAAAAAAAATAAAGAGGCTGATGAAAGAAGAGAATATAACGTGTTTCAGTCATCATGAACAACAGAAGAGTCACAGGGCAAAGGAATTATTACTCATTCATAGTATGATTTATGTTGCAGAGTAGTGAACTTGGAAGTGGAGGGGAATGTCAGGAAAGTGCTAACCCAAAGCAGATATTTCAGCTACAGGAGTTGATGAAGTTGATCTGAATAAAGTTAGGACACAGATGACCTGATCACTGGGCTGTAACAGAACAAAAGTAAAAAGCAAAGCAAGCTTCTGTGATAGTCATGGGATCAGGGCTGTGGAAGGAGGAAGAGTGTTCTGCCAGAGTGATTGTATCCTAAGGAGTTAGAAATTCAGTAGGGGGAGATTAAATGCCCAAGATGGAAAATGGGGTTATTGAAGAAGGATTTTGCAAAGTGGTTTAATAATTTTCTATTCATAGTAATATTCTTAGACTTATATGGTTATTTATTGTTCTTTAAATGTTTCCTTAGTTGTGGAATCTAAAACATTTAACTACCAAAAAGAACAAATACTCCATCTTGTGGCCAGAAAAAAAATAGCACTTTGCTCAAACATGTCACCTGTTCTGTCTTGAATTGTATCCCTCATCATAAATATGCAAAGTGGTGTTAAGAGGAGCAGCTTTAATTATTAAACTCCCTAGCTCGAAGGATTCCCTGCCTGACTTATCAAAGGCTTCAGTTGAAGTGTGTCACTTTCAAGGCAAGATTAATTTATCGATCCCTTTATAATTACAGCTACAGTATTTTGCAGAAGATATAGGTAGAACTGTAAACACTACAATACTTATCAATTTGGAGACTTTTAAAGAGATAAAGTAATGGAGTGTATAAACAGCAAAGGAATTCATTCATTTGATAAACCTCTGTGGTTGCCTGCTGTATGCCTATATTATTGGGATACAGTAGTGAACAAGGGCCTGCCCCTATCCTGCAGAGCCTGTGCTATAGTGGAGCCAGGCAGGTGTACAGGGACAGTGGGACTATGCACCTAACTCTACCTAATGTGTCGAGAATAACTTCACAGAAGAGGTGACCTTTGAGTGACTGTGTAAGGCAAAGAATGAGAATTTTGCAGGTGGACTGTGAGAGAGAGGGAATTCCAGACCAAGCAAGAAGCATGTGCAAAGAGAGAATCATAATATACACACGCCCAGTAGCTCCAGCATGGCTAAAGCCCAAAGCATTAACAAAATTACAAAGAATTTCAAAGAACCTAGAGTTTTATTTATTTGTTGGAATGTTTTCCTCTTCTTTCTGATATTTCTCTCCAACTTCTATTCTTGGCAGGTGGAAATTGAGCAAAAAAAGAGTTTGAAGCTGGACTTGGAAGGAGATGAAATGGAAAATCCCAAGGAGTGTGGGGTCCAGTGACGAAGCCCTACTGCAAGGGGCCCTGACCTAAGAATCACGATAGGATGTCTTTCTGATTAGCTGAAGTTCAAGTCAGTACCTACCATGGCTACGCCATGTTGGAACAGTGTGTTGGTCATTCCTGTTGGTAGTTACCTGTATTATAACAGGAAACCCTGAGGTGGTTGCTTTCGAGAGGCTCTGATCATGCCTGAAGCACCTGGCTCACCTGACATTTGGAGCTTATTGTATAATTAAGCCTCCTTCTCTGCACTCTGCTTATCTCACAGCACTTGTGTGGTTTGTTGTGACTGTCAGAGTCAGGAAAACAACCTCCCACATCAGTGTTGGCACGATTTCCTACTGATGTTCATCTGTCACTTACATGATTTTCTGGAAAACACAGTCTCAAGAAATTACTTAACTAAGAATCCATCTCTGCCACTCCCTCTAGAAAAGGTTCAGAAAAGGTACAAAACAAATTTCCTCTTTGGGTCTACGAGGCCTTTTGTAGGTATCTCCATTCTTTAAATGTTAACACTATGCAATGAAGTTTTCAAGATGTTTCCCTCCTGGCTCTAGATTATTTTGATTGAAACACTTTTTCCCTTTCTCTAAGGTTTCAGTTCCAGGGTTCACCACCCTGAATCACAAGAGACAATGGAAAAAAGGCACAATAGGATACTTGTAATTCTGTGATTAGCCCCACATTCTGCAAAGGGTGACTGTTGAAGGGAAAGCAAAATTGAGCTTATTTTTCTTCATTCTGGGGAAAAGGGACATTAATTGTAGGATTATATGCAATTCAGGAGACAGCTTCAATCTCAGTGAATTCCCAAATTCACGCTGAAAACATATAGGCCATTTCTGATTCATGAAACAAATGGATGTGTATGTGTATATGTATATTATACCTCAGGCATATGTCAGGGGCATTTGGGAGCTTTTATACCTCATAGCCAACACACAGTTGCATGTCTCTTTAGCTCAAACTTTACAGGAAATATAAGCTGAGAAGATCATTTTAAAAGGTGTTTCAAAACTAAGCTCGTATGAGCTTTTCCCAGAAATTCAGAGTTTGATAATCACAGTATTATAATAGATCTAAAAGGCAGAAGACTCCACAGTAGAGATGGGAGAAAGCCATATTTTTCTAATATTGGGAGCATTAAATTCTGATTCCAAGAGCCAGGGACACTCAATCTTCTTTCCCTTCATCCGTTCTTGCCCACATTCTGTACCTCTGCTGCTTAGTTGTACCTTGGTGTTTTCTTACCATACAAGGAACTACATTGGCCATTCCAAAGGTGATACCTGCTCAGCAATTTAAAGGCAGCTTCTATCTGCCTTTCTATTTCTCCCAGGAAGAATAGACTAAGGAGACAGAAGGCATGCTTATCAGATTTGTAGATGACATAGAAACCGACAGTATATCCAGTCTGTTGACTGGCAGATTCGGGATTAATTTACTCAATGAATATTCATTGAATTCTAACCACGTACTGACACTAGGATATAGAAATTGTTACAGTTTTTTGAAATACCTGAACATAAGACTGAAACTAAAAGGATGAAATTGAATAGGCATTAATGAACTATGTTCTGAATTTCTTAAACGTAACTCTCTAAGTACAGAGTGGTGTACCTATTTGTGTGTTTATGGATGTTTGTGTTTATGTGTGTGTGTTGATGGCAAGAGTGTTGGAAAGTCCTGGTTTCACAGCAGTTCATGTAGAAAAGTTTTCTTAAGGAAATAAGAGTTCAGTTTTGAATCAGGAGTATATCATGGCTATTCACAAAGCTAATGCATTCAACCTGTGGCTATAGAAGTCCAGGGAGCCCTGCATGCTGCATTGGTCAGTCCACATCTGGATGGAGGCTTGGGTTCAATTCTGGGTACCATATTTTAAGAGAGACATTAATAAGTGTGTCTAGAGGCAGGCGGCTAGGGTTGTGAAGGATCTGATTATATAAGGAACAGGGGAACAGTTCCCCTGAAGAACAGAAGGTATAGCTGGAAAGGGAGTGCAGAAAAGGAGGGAATGATATAATAGCTAACTTGAAATTTCTGTTGAGCTATAAAAAGGGAGAGGAATTAGACTTATTCCATGTAGCTTCAAAGGGCAAAAATAGAAACAAAGAGGAACCTTAAAGATGGCAGATGTTTGCTTCAACATAAGAAAGAATTTTCTAATAAGAGTTGTTCTAAAGAAGAATGGACTCAAGTAGTAAAATTTCCTCTTTACTGCAAACGCCCAAACAAAGGTGCAGATAACCATCCATCCCAGATGCTATGAAAGGGACTCTGACATTGGATTTGGGTTGGTTGACTACCAAGATCCCTTCTACATGTAGGTTTAGTCTCAATAGTAATAGGACTCTCTAACTCTAGTTGTTTCTTTCTTTGATAAGTGGTTTTTCATGCTCTTTGAAATACAATGGGGTCCCCAGAGGTCTTTGTCAAGTGAGGACTCCAAGGCATAGCCCTTCCCCTGTTGTACTGAAGGCGCATGAGATTCTTCACAGAAACAGCAAATGGGTTGAAGAGTTGGCAAGATGAAGGTCATTCCGGCACTTTCCCTACCCAAAGTTAGCACCCGCGCACCCTCTCAAGATCTGTGCCTCACCGGCTAGCACCACATATGTATTGCTTGTTGGGCCTTTTCCCCCCTTGATTAATTTTCATTGCCTTCGTGCTTTCACCTGGACATTTTTTTTTTTTAATAAACCAAGGGCTGTGAAAATCCCTTCCATGTTATCTATGTTCAGCAAGCAAATTATTATTAATTCTAAAAAACCTACCACCTTGATTTCATCAAATTTGTTTTCCTTTTACTGTTTTGGGGAAACTGATTATAGATGACATCTAGGGGTTTGGGGAGTTGTAATACTATATATTTTTAGACCTAGTGTTTTGCTAATAGCCTACATAGAAAACACGGTTGGGCAAATTACCTTTTTTTTTTTTCCTGAGGAAGATTAGCCATGAGCTAACATCCAATGCCAATCCTCTTCTTTTTGCTGAGGAAAATTGGCCCTGGGCTAACATCCATGCCCATCTTCCTGTACGTTTTTTATATGGGACACCGCCACAGCATGGCTTGACAAGTGGTGCATTGGTCTGCGCCTGGATCTGGAATCGCAAACCCCGGGCCGCCGAAGCGGATCACACGAACTTAACTGCTGTGCCACCAGGCCAGCCTCCAAATTACCTTTTTGATGTGTAAGTTCTAAGTTTGCCACCTCGACCTGGATTTTGTGTGTGTGTGGTCACAAATAATCCTTGTCTATGTTACTAATAATGTGAAAATATTAAAAGTGAATTCATTTACCAATACATAGTATTACTGTTAGAATGGAAATTAGATGTCACATGATATCAAGAGCAGTGCTTTCTTTGGAGTCTAGTGGCTTGCTTTGTGACTTTATAGTAAAAGAGGATAAGAAATGTACTCATCGTATGTCAAACAAGAGAATATGAGGTACTTTGTGGGGGACCATTAACCCCCCTTTGCCACTCTTGTAAACATAGTACTAGTTATTCCTTATCAAAATTTTGCATTTCACTTATATTAAATATTATCTGGACAGTTTTTTTTTTTTTTTTCCTTTTCTGTTTGGTTCTTTCCCCCCTCTCCACCTTCCTGCATTATTGGTAGGGCTCATAAGCCTTGAGAACATTTTTTATGTGAAATATTTCTTATTTGAAATGAGTATAATTTCTGTTCCAATCCAGCGGCTGAGGGCAGGAGCTTATTTCCCTAGAAATTCACATTCTCGAGAAATGTGATCCGTGAAGGCAAGGAATGTATCTTATTCTTTGTTTCCAGTACCTAGCACAAGGCTTGGAATATAATGGGTTTCAGCCACCTTAAATCCTTGCTGATAGGACAAACATATATTAATGAAATAAAGGGAAATTATTAGGTATTCAATAAATGTTTGCTGAACGATTATTGACCCTGAGACTGTAAGACTACTTACCCTTTACTTATCATCAAATACTTACATTAAAGCAAGCAAGCATGCTTTTATTTTCTGGAGGACTTAAATAATTTTTCTTTCCTTTTATTCCTGCCTCCTCTGTCAACTAATAATACCTGTCAGCACTTATGTACTTAATGTGCAGCTGAATTGAAACTGCAATGTACCTGATTCATATTGAAAAACATTTTTGTGCCAGAAGATTCAGGAGCACAGATGCTGTCATAGTCAAGATTATTGATTCAGTTTTGTTCCTGCCAGTCAGACAGACCTGGGAGCCTGAGCCTTGCCCATTTGAATAGCCAGCGGGAGAAGAAAGCTTTGATCGCGCACACGGCCATCCTGGTGTGCTAGGTCTTTGTTTTCCCCACCATTAACCACTGACTGAGGTTAATGTGTATTTATTTTGTCTCCATAGTAAGATGGCAGTCTGAGATAGTAAGGCTGAAACTTGTGAAATGAAATCATGATTTCAGAGCTGCTTTAAGTCTCATAATAAGTTTAGTGGTGGGAAAGCAGAGAATCATCTGAAATTTTTTCTTAAAAGCCTTGCAAATATTAAATTGATTTGAGTAGGAAGCACTGCTATCTAGCCTACTTTTAGAAATTCTCCCGGTTTGGAATGGTAACTTTAACTCTTCTATGAATGATGATGATAAGTTAATTCTAGCATATCTAGAGTTTAGGTCATGTTAAGAATGCAGTTTAACAGGAAATTCAAACAGAACTGACAAAAAAATTAAATCCACAACAAATATCACCTAGTAAATACATCATCTCTGACACTTCACTACCAAGTCCCATCCAAACCGTGACAGCTCTTTGTATAAAATTAGTCACGGCATTCTCACCAAGGTCTAGAGATGTTTTCTAAACATTACCAATGTCTAAGTGCCAATTCCCTACAAATCACCATTTCTTCACCATTTCTTAATTATGCTCTTTGTAAATTAAACTTGCTTGGGATATTGTGACATATTTATGTTTTTAAGGAATTAAAAGAGAACGAGATGTATAAATGTAGAAAATACATGTGTGTATCAGTATTGTTTTCCCATGTACCAGCTAAAGCAGGAATATGGAATTTTTACATTTCTTCTAGTGTGCCTTAGCAAATCTGATTGAGAGTCCAGTCCTTTGTTTTTGTTTTAAGGATTGAAAAAAAAATAAATGTATCTCTGAACTTGCAATTCCAGGCCTGTAAAGGTAGAAACAATCCATAGTAATGTGTTTGGTAGTACCTGGAGAGAGGCAAATAATAATTGTATGTAAGGAAAAGCTATAAAAGAATAGACTCAAAAAATAGAATTTCAATATTGAAAGATATAGTATAGTGAGATGACAAATACAGCACTGGCCACCAAACCTCAAAATACTTGAACTAGGAGCCATCCCTTACAAGTAAGGAGCTCTAGGGAAAAGAAAAGATTGCATAGCAGAGATAAACAACAGAATTAATTCAATTCAACCAGTATTTATCAAGTGTCTACTCTGGTCAAGGTGCTATGCTAGCAGCCGGCTTCCCTAAAGGGAGCTAAGGCCAAACACAAGAACGCTGAGGATTGTTGATGTAAAGTTATGGGTGGGAGTGCCCTTTATCAAGGGAAAATTGGGGTGTCCATGAATCTTTAAAGGACATGGTCATGGAGGCAATCACCATTTTAAGTGACTTGCTATTTTCCCAATTGGGCTTCAGTGACCTCAGCTAAAAAAGTGAGGAAGCTGGACTAATTGTTCCCTCAGGTCTTTTCCAGCTCCAGTTTTATGGGTCATTTTACAAAATATCCTTTGGTGCCACTGTCAGTGATACTTCCTGTCAATAGGACTCTTCATATAGTCTTAAGAACCAAGAAATTTAAAATTTGAAGACGGAAAATCAGCTGGCCCACCTTTTTCCTTTTCATGTCTCTCATCTGCCCAGACAACAGACACACAGAAAACTCTGCAATCCTCTATTTTATAGTTGCCTTCAAAACATAGATAAAAATGGAGGATCGAAAGGGTGGTGAGGATCAGCTGGAACACTGCTCTGGAAGTCCCGCTGGCATCATCCAGCACAACAGTGGTGTGAGTGTGAGGAGGAGCAGACCCGTCTCCGAAATGGATGTTAGAATTAGGGTATGACTTGAAGCAGAAGTAGGTCTAACCCTCCAAGGTCCTGAGGGGCCACATTATGATGATCAATGATTTATAGATCTGACCTTTTACACAAAAGACTGCAGAAATTGAGAGAGAAAAAGACACTCATTTCACTCATAAACGTTCTGGGACTATTTGTAATACAGTTACGGCAAAACAAGATGAGAGAGAGAAAGGGTCAGTCCTTCTTATCCTCACTGTCTCTTAGTAACATGAAAATGTAGCTTAAAAAATTTTTAAACATGTACAAGCTACAAAATAGCATCTCTTTTGTGGTATGTGTTAGTATGATTTTAGTTTCTCGTACTTAGAGTTGGTCAAATGTAATGGCTTGATTCCAACTGGACAGAGCAATTCCAGCATCATCTTCCTGTTCAGTCCCATGCTCTGCCTCAGATCAAACCCTCAATGCTAGCTGTGGACACCATCCAGCCACACTGTGACTGAAGCCTTAAGAACTGTAGTCTTGCCTCCACGTGCTTCAGGATCAGCAACGCACGTGGTATCCAATAAGAGCAGTTCCAAGAAAGCAGATGTGCAGTCAGATCCTGAAGCAGCCTGTTGGACCAAAGGGTTTAAGGGTTTTGAAGTAAGGGAGTGACAGAAAGGAAGAATATGAACTCCTCTGACCATAAGCCTGCATTCATTTAACCTTTGGGTCCACCTGCCAACAGAACCTGGAGAAAACTTCACTGTATTCAAGAAATTAAACAGAATCAGTGTTTTAGCCAGGGAGTGATGAGAGAGCACTCCTCTTCACCTTCCATTTTTGTCATGTCCACAGTGAATTTCAATGTGTCAGGATGGATGGACCCAAGATCCAGTGAATGATTCAGCTGATCCAAGGCGTGTATTTTCCTTCATTCATCATCCATCCTCATTTGATGTAACTTCTTGTACTATTGTGGTTAATTTTATGTAAAACCAGTTTACTTTTTTTAAAAAAAAATACGTGCCTATGTAATAAAGTCTACACACTGGCTAACTCTGTAGAGGTAAGGTTTTGTTTTTAATTGTTTTGCTGATTATCATCTGTAATACCCTTTTTGAGCTATGAAAATGAGAGCTATTAATAAAAATTTTTAAACAAAATCTGTCACTATGCAAGATTTAATGAGGTCAAGCATAATGAAAAATGTTTATTATTAAGAAGGTCTGTCACTCAATTAATATCGTTAGTGATTATAAGGTGACAAGTTAACAAGTGACCTGTTTAATTATCCTAGTTAAGTTTACCATGTATATAATTCAAGATATATTTATTGGGTTCCTATTTTGTGCTCAATTTTGTGAGAAAACAAAATGATACAATCCTTAAGGTTTTCTTGTTGATAAGTACATACACATATATTAAGTGAGAAATAGAAAAGAACATAATCAAATAACATTTGCATTATGTTCTTGGCATATTGTCAGTGCTCAACAAATAACTGTTCAATCGATTGATGAATCCAAGTGACTAATGTCAACATAAACTCAGATGGGAAAAAAATCAATATGGACCAGAATACTTACGAAGTTTTCACAAGGAAGATGGCTTTTAGGTGAGACCTGAAGGTGGGGGTAAAATTTAACTCAGTGGCAAGAGGAAGAGAATTATAGGGTTGGGAAGAGGCAGGTATAAAGTGGTATGTTGGATTAGCAGGAGAGGAGCCTGACCTGGGCAAAGGGTTCATGCACTTGAAAAGATGAGACTGATAGTTAGGCCAAGCTGTGTTGAAGCTTGCATCCAGCCCGAGGTTGGACTCAATCTAGTAAATGCTATGAAGCCATTTTAGAATCCTGCCAATAAAGCATTATTCTAGAAAGACTAATCTGTCTATGATGTGCTGGGTATTTTGGATTAGGGGAAAGATTAAAGGCAAGGAAAATAATTTAAAGGTTTTTTGGAGTAAACAAGGCAAGAAAGAAACAAGAGTTATGTGTTTTGTTTAGTTCAAATAGACCATGGATATCTTGTTGCAAAATACATCTTATAGTAAAATATAGTTATCTGTAAGGGGAGAACTCAGACCAGTTCAGTGGCCCTCTGCCATCGAGAGAACTTTGTCCTGAACAGAACACACAGAATTTTATAGCCCAGTCAATATGAAATTAACTGATATTAGTAACTGATATCAGGTGCACAAGA